GTTAGGCTAGCAGTTCAACGCTGCTCGCTGCTTCAACGCCACATATTGCACAGCCTGACTTCATATTTTCTCTCATCTTAAATGGTGCAAAAGGGAGTTTTCTTTTTAAACAGGAATGTTCTGAACTTTGTCCAGTGTCAACTGTGGTTGAAAAACTTTCTCATCTGCCAGAATTGAGTGGTGCATTTTATCATTGTATTATGAAGCATCAAGCATCAGATGTAGCACGTGCTAATGCTAATGGATATCATTTAGCATTCTTATCTTAAGAACTGATATGAACACACAGCTAGTGACCATCAGAAATATTCTCAGATGAAAGGCTTCTATTTTCTTCAGACTTGGACGACTCAAACCTAAAATGTTTGGGCTGAACTACAGAATATTTGTTGCATGATTATGTGTTGCTGTGTAGGTGAGCCAGGCAGATGTCAATCAAAATGTGATTAGACCCGCCCACTCAGTCTTTAGAGATCGTCTACACTGCAAAATAGCAGGTTTTTTTAAACGAGGTTTTGTCACTTGTGATTGTTATGAACATTAATCATTACTTAGACGTTAGAGGACGCTTAAAGGAAGGCTCGGTTTGTTTGGTGCGGTTTGTCTTCTGGTTATATTTAAATCCTTTTTCGTTGCAGCCTTCTTCTTCTTCTTCTTCTTCTTCTTCTTCTTCTTCTTCTTCAGTCTTTCTTTTTTGTCCATGACAGTGACCTTTAGAGCTGACTCTCTCTGCCTCCTCTGGTAGATGTGGAATATCTCAGACGGTGGTGAGGTGCTTGGAGTTCAAGCTGGTGCACAGCAAAAGGCTAGAGTACACACAGGGAGGCATTTTGATTGGATCTTTCCATCCGGTCCTCACGACAGTGATAGGTCGGAGTTTTCACAGGAAGATCAACAGCTATAGAGACGAGCTCGTTTTGTTTTAGACAAGGCAAGTTTGTTTATGTCACACATTTCAACAACAAGGCAATTCAAAGGAAAGAAAAGAATGTTCAAATAAAAAAATTCAAATGAAATTAATTGAAATAAAAAAAGTAAAAAAATATAAAAAGAGTTAAACGTTACAGAGCAGAGTTAAAGTTTAAAATCTTATTAAAACTGTTTAATAAAGGCAGCTGTAAACAGGTGAGTCTTCAACCTGGATTTAAAAGAGCTGAGAGTTTCAGCAGACCTGCAGTTTTCTGACAGTACGATAGATAGTGTGTTGGACCCTGCCAGACGTAACCGATACTGTTAGCATCAGCTAGCTAATGTTAGCAACTGACAAGCCAGGAAAACACACATGCTGTATCCGTGTATATAATAATAATACTTTATTTGTAAAGCACTTTTCTATACAAGTAACAAAGTGCTTTACAACAGAAAATAAAAAAATATATAATAATTGCGATTCTGCCATGTATCGATTTTTTCCCCCACACCCCTATTAATGAACTTCTTAACTTTGTTTTAAAATGTACATTTTTTTTAATCTTAATCCAAAGTATACACAGGCTCTCACAAACACCAGGTGATGGTTGTTTGGCGATCACAGCTGTTGAACACCTGGCTCTGCGTTGACTCCTCTGTTGTCTCTTTTAGAGCTCTTGTGACTGACTTTGAAAGTGCTGTTGTTACGTAGAAGAGATGTTCACTATCCACTTGTAACACTGCTGACATTGGACAACAGCATCTGTCATTCAAATCCTGAGCCAATTGGATGCAGCCTGCTGCCAACAGGCATCTACCCCCTTTCCCCAGGTGCACTAATCACCTGATTGAACCCAATCAAGGAGTCAGTCAGAAGGCAGCAGGAGACAGTCATTCCTAAAACAGTCAAGGAGAACTTCTGAAAGAAAAACACTGTGCTTTTCAACCCTAACCCAAAGCTGGACTTAACTGAACTGAGACTTAAAGCCCTTGAGGAGCTGCTGTGGAGGAATGTTTCAGGACTGAACACTGTGAGACATCCACAATGGAACATTTGATTAAATTGCTGCTCCCAAATTGAGCAGACGTGTAATTTTGCTACCTGTTTCCCTAAACTGGTCAGGCCATATTGCCGGAGCAAAGAAGATGGCGAGCTAAAGGAGCAACTTCAAAAGACTCAAGATTCCCTCAAAAGGCAGGCCTCAAGCCTGGCTGTCTGGTTAAAGGGTGTGGTAGGATTTCCCCTACCTAAATAAACATTTGAATTCATTGGACATCTGCACACACACAACAAATAACTGCAGTATGTGTAATGTGTTTTGGTGCATTGATTTATACGCATAGAATTGGGAATATTTAGCATATGTTGTATGGAGGGTATTGCATTATATTCTCTCGGAGCTATTGCATCTGTATTGTTGTTTTTGTATTAAACTATACAGTTACATGTTTTAGTATTCCTGTAGTGAGGCCGTCCCAACCAGTTGATTTCATTATAAAGCACTTATTTGGGACAACACACATTTTTTTTCAAATGGAGCTCAGCGTAAGTTCAGACAGCAAGACTGGTTATATTCTTTCACTTCAACCTAAACCACTCCCCCTACTACTTCCTCTGTCTCCCTTCTCTGGTGATCAGCTGTTTATGGGCGTTTTTTCTTCAAGTGATCAACCAATCAGATGTGGGCACAACCTCTCCCATCCAATCATTCTGCAGCAGCAAAAAGGCTAAAACAGCTCTCTCTCTTCCGCAGCCCTTCTGTCTTTTCAGGCAACCGCTGTAACAGGCAGAAAGCATTGTACTCATCTTGGTATTTCGCTTTACTTACGTTTCGATGTCGGACTCCGAAATCGAACCCTTTCTGGAAGCACTGGACCTCAGCCGCGAGGTTTTTCTGGAATTGGCTTCCACTTCCTCGGATAGCAGGTGGAGGAGCGTCCGGATAGCCGGTCGTGACAGTTCTCCCCAGGCGAGAGGGCTACGATCCTGGGCCAGCTCCAGGATCTGGGCATCACGCCAAACCCGGGTATCTCTCTCTCCGATCTCCGCGAACTGGCGGAGATGGTAAGCACTGCCCAGGGACATCGTCCGCTGCTCCTAGCTCAGGAAGCGGTGGCTCCAGGCAGTCCTCCCACGCAGACGCGCGGGCGGAAAAGAACGAGGAAATCTGTCGCATCGCATGCTCCGCAGTCCAAACTGAGCAATGTTTCCTCTCCCCCCGTTCCCCATTCCCCTCGCTTAAACTAAACCAATTCCCACGGCCACACACCGCGACCTGGCCAATACGTTGCATTCACTGGCTAAATCCACGAAACAGATTGACGCACGCCTGCGCTCTCTCGAGAATGCATCTTCCGCTGGCCGCTCAAGTGCAGCCCTTCCCAGCCAGCATGCCGGGACCGGGGTTCGACCCGGTTCCGTCAACGTCCACAGGGATCGAACCGAGCATGCACACACTCGCCTCAGCCATGCCAGCCCCCTCTCTAGGTAGGCCATACATCCCTCAGACCGCTTATATTTCTCCCAGGCTTAAAGCCAAAATACTAGACGGCAAGGACGTCAATCTAGTCTGCCTTTTACTTCCCTCGCTCGAATGTGATAAAAGTGTGGCTACCGGGGAGAACTTTACTACGATCTTGAAAGCGTTGGATCCCCGGCTCCTCAGGGATCTAAGTTTCGGTCAGTTTACAGTGGCCTTCGGCCTGTATCGTGATGTACTATGCTCCGTGTATGGCGACAGAAGGCCAGAACTAGACACTTACTTGTCAATGTTAGGAGATTTAAACCTCAAATATGGGAAGAATGTTTTCTATCAATATCATAAATCCTTCTCCAAGAAATCAGCGTTACACATATCTCAACATAACACCGGCTGGACTGGTCTGTTCTGGACACAGAACTTTTAGTGATGGTCGCCGGAGGTATGCAGGTCCTGTCCTGCAACGCGTGCGCTGTTCCGGGGCACTCCGCCCAGCTGGGCCCCTCCGTGCCTTTTCAGCCGCCGTTTAAGCCTTCTTCCCTGTCAACTACCGACAGACGCGGGCGACAGGTGCATCTTCTAAACTCAACCCCCATCTGCAATAACTTTAATGAAAATGTATGCACTTAAACGTCTCTGCAGCAGCTGCAGCGATGCTCACCCTCGGTCAGTCTGCCCCTGCTGCTTCGTCCCCTCACGGATGAACTCGCGGCAAATGAACCCGACGTGGTTCAAAAACATTTTGAATCATCATCCTTCAACCCCAATAAACATTAAATGTTTGGCAGCAGAGCTTTCCTCTCATCCTGATTCTGTCGTTGTAGATCACCTGCTTACGGGTCTTTCCAAGGTTTTAGAATCGGGGTTCTGACATTGCCCACCGTAACTTACATTGCAAAGAATCTTCAATCTGCTACACAAGAGCCAGAAATAGTCTCTCTGCTACTGGAGAAAGAAGTTAAAAAGGGGTACGTCATCGGTCCGTGTAAGTCCTCTCCTTTTCCCGTGTTTCGCACCAGCCCCATCGGCGTAACTACAAGGAAATACTCAGGGACGAAAAGACTTATTTTTCGACTTGTCCGCGCCACGTTCTGGCCCCTTCGCGAGCGTCAACGGTCTCATTCCCCTAGAGCCTTTTTCGCTTTATTACGCTTCGGTCGATAATGCAATTAAAATGATAAAATTGTCCGGGCAGGGTTCGTGGCTGTCAAAAGCAGACATCACCGACGCATTTAAGATAGTTCCCATCCATCCAAGTCAGTGGCCTCTATTCGGCATCAAGTGGGAATCGATGACACGATAAGGGTGTTTCCTTTCTCACTTTTATTTTGGGGGGTCTCCTAAACCTGCCAGCGGCTTCATTACCTTCCGAGCGTGAAGTCGTCACGATGAAGTCTAATCCCCCAAAGACTTTGCACATTCCAAGTTAATTGTTGCACATTTATTGTAAATAAATAATTGTTCATTCTCAATTAAGTCTCTCCTGATTGAAATGTCTATACAGTAACTGGTTTTTAATAATGACAAAATAGTCGGTGTAAAATCATTAACAATGTTTGCGAGTGTTCATGATGTGGAGTTGATTGGTTTTGTATTTTGTGTATTTCAGAGTTTAGATTTATTGTTCTGTTTTATTATGTCATTTCTTATGTTATCCTTGTGTTCCAAGGGTCCTGAGGCTTTAAGGGAGGGTTTGTTTCAGCTCAATGATCTAGTTCAAATAAAAACAGGAAATAAAAAAACCCACATAAACAAAATGAAAGAGGCTGTATTGGCCTGGTAGTATTGTGCACAGCCTGCTGCAGAGTGGATATGTATGGTGGAGGTCAGGGTTTCTTCTCTCTCTAGAGCAGGACTGGTGATGACACACTGGACTGAACGATCGTTGAGTTCTCTGGTAGGCACTCCAAACAGCCAGCTGACTGTGGTAGTCGTACCGTTAGCATGAAGGCTGGAGTTGGTTGACGGCCTCACTTTCTCTCCCAGAGTACCAGTGAGCCACCTCACCTCTGCAGGAGGTTTGGAACCAGCAGCCGTGCAGGTAATAAGAGGGACCTCGTCGTTACCCAAAGCAGGATGAGCATCCTTCAGGCTTGTGACCGGAGGCACTAAGAGAGCGACAGTCAACAACAAAGTTAACACACACACTCTTAAGATGTTCATGACTCACACATACAAACACAACATGAGCAGCATTTTGAATGTATCATACCATGAACTATAAGAGGTATCGCTGTCTCATGGATCCCGCTGGGGAACAAAGTGAACACACATGTGTAGGTGCCTTCATCCATCAGTGTGACATTCGATAACTGGAGAGTACCCTCTTTATCTGTAAAACTCCCAATGAACCTAAACCGATCATCATGGCCATTGACAGAGCGTGGTCCATAATGGGACGAGATTGTATAGAAATTGTCCGTCCGAGGTTTTCCTCTGGTCAATCTCTGCCATGAAATCTGTGTGAGGGTCTCTGTGGTACCAATGAGTTTACAGTGGAGGACAGCTGCTCCTTTTTATGATATGTTTGTTCATCAAAAAATATTATATTATGTTTTAAATAAATTCTATAATTGTTATTTTAAATTAAAAGTTCCTTTGTGTTTCCTAAAGCGAGACAGTTTTTTGCATTCAAATATGCCTGTTGTGTTTTTTTAAGAACCCTAAGTACATCTCTGGTAAAGATATGATTAAATAAGTTATTTTGCATATTTCTCTGAAAAACACAGTTTTAAAGATTTGTCTATCAATTAATCAATTAGTCAACAAAATAGTATTGGTGTTAGTTGGCTAAGAATTTCTTTTGTTCAGGACAGACGTATGGAATAGAAAACATTTTAACATTTTAACATTGCATTTCTTTAAATAAATTCATTCATAACATGTTCACAACATTCTGCTTTCTCTGTATGTCAAATATGATCATTTAATAGCCTATTGTCTTTCTACAAAATGCATCAAAACTATTATATTCCATTTGTAGTGTTTTGTAACACCAATAACATTGTAAGTGGTAAAATTACAGAATATGGTATTGCACATTTTAGACTTGAGTGTGACAGGTTTTTATACCTGAATTAAGGTGATTTAGACTTTTTAACATGACTTTTCAGTGTCCCACATTTAGAACAGCACTGTCCCACATTAGGAAATGCAGATTGTCCGAAACAATTTGGCACTAAGACTACTGATATGTCTGAGTGTGGGTTTGATTAGGGGACATCCTGGGGATTTCAGAGTGGTACTGGGTGTGGATTATTTAATGTAGGCCTATAGCTTCATGTTGCAATATATCTCAGAAGTCTGAAATGCCAAAATTGTCCCACATTAGGCTAATTCACCATATCAATATTAACTAGAAATTGCATTTACCTGCGGAAAATGCGTGTGAATGCTGACGGCTGAAATGTTTTGCAAAACACTGCTGAATGAAGAAGAATCAGCAGAAGATGAAGAAAAAGTACAAGATTAGGAGCAAGAGGACAAATGGCCGAACGCGTCGATGTGATTTTCATGTCTGGGGTTCAAGAAATGTGGAAACCACAGCGATTTGAAAAGTTAGTCCCAAGAGGTGTGGTCAGTGAAGTCAGGCCTAAGTTTAACATTAGCCCAGATGGAGATTTCTCGGACCACCTGCCGCTTTGAAGCTCACAGTGGAAAAAGCTTTTCTCCAATTGTCCTGAAAACTCAATATGTCAGAGAGGACAAGTTTTCCTACATTTTGAGGGTAAATTTATGTGTGTGGGGTGAAGATTGTGGTCAGGAGAGCAATTTGTTCGGGAGATTTTGAAACTATTTCAGAACTCTGTCCCACTCTAGCGATGATGTCACTCACTCTAAAATGTGAGAAAAGTTCAAAACCCAACAGTTGGAGGTACAGTTTGAAAAGTATAAAAGGTAGCAAGACAAGTGAAAGTAATATGAATAGAGGACAAGTGTGTGAACATTTTAAAGCAAAAATGGAGTCTCTAGGCAGAACACAGCCAAAGTTATGAGGCTGAGAAAAAAGTGTAAAAACGTGAAAAAGTTGAAAATCTTCCCATTCATTTCAATGGGGCCAAATTTTGGACAAAAAGTTAAATAACTTTAAAAATAAAAGTAGTAGAAACTGCTTCCAGCATTCACACTAATTAAACATTTTGGGGATTAGTAGTCTAGCCTATAAAACAAAGACTTGTACTTTTCCGTCTGAAAGTTTGAAGGACGAAGCTAAACGTAAATAACGTACCCTACAGGAATATGTTTTACAAGATCTCTTTTTAAAGAAAAGGTTTTACACACAGTCAACTCTTTAGAGGTTGTAAATCATTTTCTTATTGTTCTGTATACATTTCTGTTATTTCTTTTAAGTATTTACCATAAAGTTATCTAGAAAACGTACTTTCTCATTAGAACTGAGCCAACATACCGTTTGTGACTGTGGGAACCATCAACGTTAACACCAGTAAAAGCATAGTGGTGCTCCTTAAACCCAAACACAGGCCTATCCATAGTTTACGTCCAAATTATTCATATCCATCCATCCATGTGTGCAGTTTCTTTATACCAGCATCTTTCCTCTGCTCCGAGACAAAACAGGAGGACGACACGAAACCACACACTCACGGGATGCGTTCAGGAGGACTCGGAATTTACACGATCCAAGTAATCTTTCAGTCCCTTTTTTGGGTTGTTGATTAAAAACAAGTGAATAACTTAATATAATTGTTTGATGTGAGTATCGCTATAATAACCAGCCTCAACATTTCCTGCTGTTGTTACATAGAAGAGATGTTCACTATCCAAAGAGCTACATTTCCTTTAGTATTTTATGACCTCTTACTGCATTATATTCTCTCTGGGATATTTGCATCTGTATCTGTTGTTTTTGTATTAAACTATACAGTTACATGTTTTAGTATTCCTGTAGTGAGGCCGTCCCAACCAGTTGATTTCATTATAAAGCATTTATTTGGGACAACACACATTTTTTTTTTTTCAAATGTCTATACAGTAACTTGTTTTTAATAATGACAAAATAGACGGTGTAACATCATTAACAATGTTTGCAAGTGTTCATGATGTGGAGTTGATTAGTTTTGTATTTTGTGTATTTCAGAGTTTAGATTTATTGTTCTGTTTCATTATGTCATTTCTTATATTATGCTTGTGTTTGTCTTTGTTCTAGTGTGTATTGTTACATTCTTCTCTGTGTGTCTTTAGTGTTTCCTCATTTATTTGGAAGTACAAGTAGAGCACGTGACAAAAAGGGATCCTGCTGCTTTTAGGGGGGATCGGAATTTCCACTATCCATGTTCCATGAATTATTTCACCTTTAACGCAGTCCCTCTTGTGGTCAGGTGTGCAATAGCAAATATCTTTTCTTTTTTTTCTCCTTGAAAGCCAAGTTTCCATTGCTCCATAATGTCTGCTGACTTGGTGTTTCATCATGAAATACAACTTTTTGCTCCAACATAATTAATTATTAATAATAAAATAACAATTATAATTAAAAAAAGCATTTAATTTTTAAACTTAATAAATATTTGGGTTTCAAAAACAATTTGCCTAGCTATTATTATTAATATTATTATTGTCATACCAATACATACATTTAAAAAACAAGTCGATCCAAAGTTCTTTTAATCAAATTTAAAGGGTAATAGAATCAGAATCAGAATCGTTTTTTTATTTCCAAGTACATTTACACATACAAGGAATTTGTCTTGGTGTATTGGTGCAAAAGGGTTAGCCACAAGAACCACAATAAAATAGAACAAAACATTTAAGAAGAGTTCATAATTCTGAAAAAATAGAGTACAGCAATGTAAAAAAAGAAATTAAATTAGATAATAAGATGATATGACGGGATTTAGAAATTACATTCCTGCTACAGGGCCCTCTAATAAAAGGCAAAGGCATGCCAAAAAAATGTTCTGATTTCAAAGAAGTAGGGTTGCAAATGTGTTCCCTTTAAGAGGTGAAAACTGAGGGCATCAATTTTCCTGCTGAAATGTTTTGTTTTTTTAATATATAAATTGTATATCTATATATATATATATATATATATATATATATATATATATATATATATATATATATAAAAGCAGCAAAATGAAACAGAAATGTCTAAAAAATTGCAACGAGCTCAGACTATAGCAACACATGGTGCAGGTGTGAGATGGTCACTGTGAGCCAAGATGAACTAAAGCTTGTTTATTTGGCAAAAATTGTAACACAGTCAAGTTATAACTTACATGCAGAGATAAACAGCTGGAGGGATGCCACATAGAAGGAATCCAATCCCAGCTATGAGTATGTATAGGAAATACCCCGATGACTTCTCCTCTGTGTAAAATCAGATGTGAATGACTTTATGTTGCAGGTCATCAGAGCTTACACATTCATTATGACTTTTATTTAAGTGAGGAGACCAGCTTTGAGCTCTACTTACCTTCAGGTTTGTCAGACACGGTTAAATTCCACTGATAAGTCTTTGACCCTGAAGATTCAGTTAAATGACATGTATATAGTCCTTCATCATCTTCCTGAGCATTAGAAATAATCAGCTTTGAGGATAGATCTATTGTCAGTCTGTCAGAGGTTAAATTTGAAACAGTCACATTTCCTTCCATTGAATGAGAAAAACGAAATCTGCCTTTGCTCCAGTTGATTTGTTTTGTATTTTCTCTTGATGTGTTGCAAGTAAAGATGACAGAGCCTCCCCTGGACACCTCTTCATCCGTGTGGACGACTTTTTGATCCGCTTAAATCAAAGAATGAAAAAACAATTAATACATATGCAACAGATACAAAACTTAGCCTTGAGAAAAGCATGCATTGCAAAAAACACAAAAGTTGTACTCTACCTGCAAAGACCCCGTGCATAAATAATAAGGAGAGCAGAGCTGCTTGGTTTGGATGAAACATGATGACCATAAGCCAGAGAAAAAGACAGTTCATCACCAATAAATATTTCTGTGAAAAGGTGGGGGGAAGAGGGAGTGGGGTGTTGTTTTGAAGGAAATGATGTGTCACGTCGGCCGTGAACCACAGAGGTCATGGCTAACGTCTTTCAATAGTGTGAGAATGTGAAAAGTTCTCAAAGTTTATGAGATTAAAAAAGTGAAATCATAGCTTTGTTAAATGACCTGGTGCATTTACCAAGAGGAGCAGACAGCTTCTAGAATTATTTAGTGTTTTAATGAGTGAAAGAAATTATTATTATTTTTAAAGGAAACACTTCTGTGACCTAACATTTACAAATGCCCCCTCTCTCTCTCTCTCTCTCTCTCTCTCTCTCTCTCTCTCTCTAAAGAGATCTTCAACATGTTTTATTGCTAAAACAAAATCGAGTCAGGCACATGGATCATCATTTTTTCATCAAAATGTGAGTCAGGTCGGGGGTCAATTCAATCAATCAATTTTTATTTGTATAGCTTCAACTCATAACAAGTGTTATCTTGAGACACTTTACAAAAAGCAGGTAAAAGACCTTACTCATTGTTATGTTACAAAGATCCGGTCTATCCATCATGAGCACTTTAGCAAAGCAGCAAAAGTTACAGTGGTAAGAAAAAACTTTCTTATTAAAAGGCAGAAATCTTCAGACCGGATCTCCAGCTCATGATGAAACAGCCTTCACAGGTCTAGACTGCGCCGGGCTTGGAAAGGGAAAGGGGGAGAGATGGGATAAGATGCAGGAAGAGGGATAGGGAGCAAGGGGTCGGGGTCGGGGTTTCAACATTTTCTTGATAAAAAAATTCTATTACTATAAAAATAATATTATTGAGAACAAGGTCTTAAGTTTCCAATTTTCAACAAAAATACTGTACTTCAATTTTTTCACGTTCAAAGGCGGCTGCTGAACCTGAATCTGCTGAAAATTTGCGTCAGGTCGTTGCTCAACATTTTTACACCAAAATTTGAGGGGGGGGGGGGGTAAAATCATTTTGTCATCAAAACAAAAACATCTGACACAAATTGTCATGAAAACACGTCGAGCTGACCTGACTCAAATTTTCAGCAGATTCAGATTCAGGTTCAGCAGCCGCCTTTGAAAGTGAAAAAATTTGAAGTCTGGTATTTTTGTTGACAATTGGAAACTTAAGACTTTGTTCTCAATAATATGATTTTAAGATAAGATAATCCTTTACTCATATCGGAGAAATGTTCAGTGTTACAGCAGCAAAGAGCAAGGATAGCCAACAAAAAGAAACACAAGAAAAACCTATTATCAAATACATTTAACTTTTTTATACACAAAACAAATTAACTATACACACCAACCTGAAAAGATGAAGCTCATGTATCACAAACATGAATTCAATCTGCTAAACTCAAAGTACAACTCCATTGATGTCACTCAAGTAGCACTCGAGAATCAGTTTTGCAGAAGAAGACACCTGAGCATCAGTGACCTCCTGATTATTCTGAACCATCCAGACCGCTCAGGTGGTCTGGGACAGGTCTGCTCTCTGTCCCCAGAGTCAGAACCAAACATGGAGAAGCAGCGTTCAGCTTCTATGCTCCTTATATCTGGAACAAACTCCCAGAAAACTCTCAGCTCTTTTAAATCTAGGTTGAAGACTCACCTGTTTACAGCCTTTCATTAAACAGCTTTAATAAGATTTTAAACTTTAACTCTGCTCTGTAACTTTTAACTCTTTTTATATTTTTACTTTTTTTAATTTCAATTAATTTCATTTGAATTATTTTTATTTGAACATATTTTCAGATTTAATAATTTCAGTGATTTTTTAAATGTTCTATTTTAATGTTTCTTTTCTTTCCTCTGTCATGATGCTTTTTGATGTCTTGTGTGAATCACTTTGAATTACCTTGTTGTTGAAATGTGCTACATAAATAAACTCACCTTGCCTTAGGTTTGAAGCTGCTTAGAGACCTAAGAGGCCAGAAACTGCAGGAAGCGACCAAAGCTGCAGAGAGAAACAGCCAATGGCTATGGATGAAGATGCAAGACCTCTGCTGGGACCCAAAGTAGCAGTCCAGGTTGACATATAGGGGATGTTTTCTGGGACACCAGAGGGCGCTGTTGAGCCCTCCTGAGACGTCGTCAGCTCAACAACAAAAACACTGAGGAAGGAGAGTGCCCACTTGAAAACCCCTCTGTGTCTACATTCATCAGCAGGGTACTCTCTCTTACTAGGTGCTTGCACATGAAGGTTTTTTTTTTTCTTCTTTTGCTTCTCATCCAAAACATACATGAACACTTTTGATGGTAGTGTTTTGAATTGTTCACATCAGTGTGTATTGTTTTGGTTAAATGAATCAGTTTAGAGAAGAGGGGACATGGTTTTTAGCTTTGTTTCACTTTGTAAGACATTTGTAGAGTTTTCACAAAGTAGTTCACTCTTTTTTTTGTCTCTGAGGTGTTGAGAAATTGGGTGACAGTTTATGGAAATGTGTTTAAAAGTTTGGGGATAACTGCACTTTGAGATAGCCCTGTTGTAATTCAGTTATTTCACTTTGTTATATTTTGTGCTTTCAGTTATTTACGGCTCTTTTTATTTGAACGTCTCTCATTGTGTACCTGTTTATGTACTCAACCTGAGGAGTATGACTGGAAATGTCTGATTTTTAAAGGGCCTGTCTCTACCTGGATTATAGAAAAAAAATGCAATAACTTGATCATTAAATAACTTGATTACACTTGCCAAGTATTTTTTTTACAGAAATTTAAATTATTTAAGCTTATCTCAAGATTAACAAATTTCATAGATAGATATCTTGTTACCCTATATTAGATAGATAAGTCAATATTTGATTCATCCCCTCTGTGGGGGAAATTCAGAATTTTTAAATTAAGTTATTTGACTTCCTAAATACTTTGAGATGTATAAGATCTTTTTATGTCTTACACCTTATGTATGCCTTAGTATTTCACTTAATCTAAACCTAAACAAAAGTTGAAATATAATTTCATTATTGTTAATATTTCTTTCTTAATTAATTGAATTGATGAATTTATTGTTTTTGGCTTTCTTGTCCTTTTTATTTTATAGTTGTTGTGTCATATTGGCCTTTAGATTCCCTGTCTGAAACGCAGGGTTGGGAAGTAACGGATTACATGTAACGGCGTTACGTATTTAAAATACAAAATAAGAATAACTGTATTCCGTTATAGTTACAGTTTAAATTGGTGTATTCTGAATACAGTTACTTTCTCAAAAAAGGATTACTTATAGGGATTACTTTACGGCACTACACGCAGGTAGCAGGTGGCTCTATGTGCGCAGGTACGCTGCAAGTCAATGCGCGAGAGCACTTTCCACACAATGACAATGGCAGAGGATGAGACAAACGACCAGGAGGAGGACAAAAATGTATTTTTGCCATGGAAATTCAGAGAACATTTTACCTACAAACCTGGTAAAGAAGGCCGCAACATCACAGTGTTTCCATCTTTCAAATGACAGAAAAATAAATGGCATGCTTTTATTTTTTAATTTGATTCAATATTCTAATTGTTAAGAAAGATAAACAACGTGATTAAACTACAGGCTGTTGTTGCCATCTAGCCAAACAAAACTGAACATTCACAGCCTCTGAATTCTATAGAATTTCAACATTGACATTTATGTCATCCTATTTCCTCTTTTCACCAACATTACATTTTAAACTGGGGATTTCCTTTTTCTCGGGTTGCGCGTCTCTCCCCCAGCTCGCCCCCTCCGGTGCGCTCCTCTCCATAATGCGCTCGTCTCCTCCCTCTAAAGCTGCTGCTACTCCGTAGGACGCTTGGATTAGGGGACCTCACCACTGTTTGTACCCCCGTCTTCGATACCTTTTTCCAGGGCATTTATGTCCGATCAGACACAGCGCTGACCAGCTGTCTGCTGCGCAACAACAGGGAGTGTAGAGCGCCCGGTCCACAGAGGACACAGCTCACACCTCCTGCTCAATGTATGACACTTCATTCTTAAGATGAAGAAAAGAGAGGCCCTGTTTAATGCCGAGGTTTTCTTATAACCAAAAGTTTCTTTGTAATATTCAGATTTATCTTCTATAACTCGAAAGTATTGTGCGTTTATTTGCCTCTCTCACTAAGACCTATTTTGCGCTTGCAGTCATCTGGCTTTCTGTCCAAACTCTCCATGATGTAAACCAGTAGAAACCAGTAGTGGTGTCATTCACGCAAATTTTCTTTAGTAGATCTCCCGCAAAACGCCCACCAACCAAACGTGCAAACTTTTGGAGTGAACGCGCAATTTAGTACTCTTTACTTGGGAGCTCAGTAAATCTGGTCCTGAGAGTTTAACAAGTGGCAAAATGAATGATGGAGGAAAGCACATTTGGCAGAATTAAAAACAATCCACTCTCGGTGGACCTCTTCTGTTGTACATGCCAGCAGCCTACATTTAGTCCATTAATGTATTGGCACCACGAGGTTGCAGGACAAAATTGACCACATTTGTGTTTTGTGTACTTGCATAACTTTTTCTCTGAAGACAGTAATTAGATCGTTCTCCAAAGCATGTGTTAACTAAATTCACTGTTCCAGATAAACAGATAAACTATTGGCTAATAACAGTGGTAACGTCATCGAACGGCACAATTGGCAGATGGTGCATTCAGGGTGTCAGGCACATCGGAAAAACGATGCCCGAGTTGTAAAATGCACATGAACACCTGCTCAAGTCGGAACAACAAGTCGGAAACTCGGAAAAGAAGGAGGTCTCGTCTTGCCGACTTGACGTCAGAATCGTCATCAATCGTCATCACCCCCTTGCTCCCTATCCCTCTTCCTGCATTTTATCCCATCTCTCCCCCTATCCCTTTCCAAGCCCGGCGCAGTCTAGGCCTGTGAAGGCTGTTTCATCATGAGCCGAGGATCCAGCTGAAGATTTCTGCCTTTTAATAAGAACGTTTTTTCTTACCACTGTAACTTTTGCTGCTTTGCTAAAGTGCTCATGATGGATAGACCGGGTCTTTG